AAAGAAAAAAGAGAAAAAAAGAAAAAAAGAAAAAAGATACGTTGATCTGTGGGATGTGTTATTTGCTTTGTGATAATTGGATTATCTTTCTTTCCCTATCTTTCTTTCCCTATCTTTCTTTCCCTGTCAGGTTTGGTTTCCTCCTCCTCTTCTTTACCTCTTTGCCTTTTGGCTGCGTGCAAGTGGGTCCTCGTGACACACGGGGATGGGGGCAGCCAGCACTCAACCTGTCATCCACGTGGCTGGCCTTGTACGTAAGAGGTTATGAACAGGTGGAGCTTTCCTTACCTCTTCCCCCTCCCCCTTTTTTCCTTTTCCTTTTTTCTTTCCCCTTTTTTGCGCTCTGATTCACAATGTGACAATATATATATGGGTGGGTCTTGTCCCGTCGTTTGGCCTGTGAAGGAGGGSCGGTGCTTGCATGTGGGACTTGTCATCTAGGATCTGTTTTTGGTGCTGTTGCGTGTTGCCCACTGTTTTGTTGTATTTGGCTGTTCCCTTCCTCTTTTCTTTGCCTCTTTGCCCTTTGGCTCTGTGTAAGTGGGTCGATATGACACACACACGGGGGTCGGGGCAGCCACCGCTCAACCTACATCCGCGTTGGCGGCCTTGTACGCAAGAGGTTCTGAACAGCGGGAGTCTTGTAAGGAAGAAGATTAAAAATGAATTGATATCTTTTTTGCTTCCTTTTGTTTTTTTCGCTTTTGCGCTCTGATATTCATGTGACAGTATAACAATATATATACAGTTGTGAGTCTTGTGACGATATATATATACAGTTTGTCAGCCCCTCGTTTGTTGTCCTCTTCTCCCTCTCTGCCTACGGTTTCCCGGGCAGTTCTGTTTGACGGTATATATACGATTTGCTGGGCAGTTCTGTTTGACGATGTATACATTTCCAGTTTCTATTCAACCCTGCCGGCACACTAAATATGTGGGCGTAGTTGTCTATGTGTCTCTGCATACTCTTTACGGGTTCTGGTGTATATTCGTATATGAGGTGTGTGCGATGGCTGCAAGCCATTTCCATGCCTGCACTTGGCATGCAATTGCTCCCGTTTTCACGCTCTATGGAGACACCTTTATGGAAGCCAGAATCCGTAGCCACCTTGCGTTATGCAGCAAGGCTTTTGTGTCTGGATGCCATGTGAAAGGCTGTTGTAAATTTTGCACTTGTTGAATTTACACCCACCTGAAGCCTGAAGGCCACCCTTCCGTGGTGTGCTCCAACCAACTTTCACTCCTGGACAAGTTGACCTGTGGTTTGAACTATATATGGCGTCAAGGATTTGTGCATGTTCGTCTGCCTCACGAGTGTGATGGATGCACCTGTCTATCAGCGAATTCGTCTTCGTCTGGGGCGATGTGGAGAATGGAACGGTACTGCGTACTGAAGAATGATGCATGGTGTGAGATCCGAGAGAGCAAGGGGTTGTTGTCAACGGCGTGAGGAAGGTTGGGCAACTTCTGGTGAGTCTAGCGAGACTTTATATTCAATTTTTTATAAGGGCGACCGTCCGTCTTGAGATATCATCAGTGAACTGACCGGCCGCAGGTAATTGAGAATTCTTTTATGCTGTTCAACTGATTGCATCTGGATTCGAACTTGCGTCTGTATTTCACCAGTTCATGGATGATTGCTGGAAATTCTGTTTGCCTTCACCCAGCAGCAGCAGCAGTGGAACGGGGTGCGGGCCCCTTGTTGTGTTCCTGTTCTTCGCCCAGCGGATTGGAGTGTTGTGTAGTATTCTCCTTCGCTTGAATCCGTTCTCGTCTGCAAAAAGAAAGACCGGCTGCTGCTTGGCCACCGAAGGTGCTATTTTTTGACTTGTATATAATCGAAGGTCGGATAATGCTTTGTGCAATCCTGATGGATTTTTGATGGAGAGAGCGGCTTGATGTATATACTTTCTTAATCGAAGTTGGGATAATGCTTTGTGCAATCTTCTTTGATTGATTGATGGAGAGAGCAAACTTGCTGCAGGCGTGATATACTTCGTGGTTTTCCGAGAACATCGGCGTCCTGCAGCAATTCATCATAGGCTTGATCTGGTGAAATGTATGTGCTGTACCTATATCGGGTTTTTGTTGTTTGAAGAGCGGAAGCTCCCACAGCCTGTCGTGAAAGGAGATCACTGGAGCGACCTGGTAATGTATATGCGGTACCTATCGGTCGTGTTTGACATGCTTCATAAATAAATTGGTGAGCGTGCGGCTGATACTGGGGCTTCAGTCCGTCCAAGAGATGGAGGCGATTACTGTCATCCTGCTGGCGGAGCCGGAGTCTGTGGACACACGTGCACTACATTCCTATCTGGACCAGAGGCTTGGAGTTGGATGAGATGATGATATAATATTTGTCATTTGCTGCTCTACTTTGCTCCAGAGGCATGGAGTTGGGTGAGATGATGATATAATATTTGTCATTTGACGGTTGACTTTAGTGCCCTTTCGATGGGCGAGCAAGATTTTTACCTTCACGATGCTTGACAGCAGCAAGCGAGTGAGGAGCGAGTGAGCGGTTTGACTCTCCAGAGTGAGTGCATCTTGCAAGAAGCGGTTTGACTGTATCTGGCAGCAAGCAGGTTTGCTTGCTCTCCTCGATTACATCTTGCAACAAGCGGTTTGATTTGATTGCTCTCGTGATTACCATCTTGCAGCAAGCGGTCGACTGCAACCTGCAACGACCGGGTTGATTGGTGGAGGAGTATGTGTACATTTCAGGCATCAGAGCCCTTTCCAGAGATTGATTGATGATCGCGTGGCAAGGAGAGCTGCAATGATGTGTTTTGGCGTTTCCGAGCGGTGGCTGGTTGGCCCTTGTTTTCTCCACTGTATTCATTTCTTGAGCAAGCGGGGTGCACTTCTCTTCTTGTGCTTTTGTTTGGACATCTATAATTTGGAAATGCTGCCGGGACTCGTTTGAAGAAGATGTGACATCGACTGGTAAAATGATGGGGTGCAATGAATGGTTAGTCCTTCCATCAGATGATGGCCTCCGTCCGCAAAGGATGGCACCTCTTTTGACGTAGGATCAAATGCCGTTTGTCGGTCCAGAAGTTCCATTTGTTGTTTAATGCAAAAGTGCTGCACTGTACTGTATATGCCCTTCAGCAGGGGTCGAAGACTGCGGGACATGCAAAAGAGCGAAGGGGCTCCGTGTACATGGAAGTTAGACGCGTGGGAGATGTATCCATCGTCATTTCATCGACTGCTGTGGCAGGTATCTTGGTGGTGGACTGCAGTGTTAATTCATCGACAACCGTAAATTTTGGTTTGTTCTATATACGGGGACGCCAGAGAGGGGCATAGGTGGCAGGAATTGCGGTGGTATAAGTGTTTCATTCCTTGGATCTGTGCACGATGCACCGCTGTTGGCTTCGAGTTGACAAAGAGTTAACGGCGCCATGTGACCTGGTGTAAATTTTTCACCTTTATGATGAAGTTTTATCTGAAACTGTGCTTACCTTTTTTTTGGCTATAATGCACAACAACAGAGAATTTCATCTGGAGATTCTCTATAGAATATGATCGCAGGATGGCTTTCGCATTTCACTTTCTTTCTTTCTTTCTTTCTTTTTTTATTTGAAACGGGCGGGCGGTAGTCTTGAGATTTCATCGTGAAACTGGCCGGCCCTAGGTAATTCAGGAATTTCGTTCACCTGGTTCCTTCCAGCTGGATTCGAACTCAGGTCTCCATTTTTTACAGTTTATGGGTGTAACAACTGAGCTAAGCGCGTTGGTCGCGTTTAACTTTCTTCTGCAGAACTTGCCTTAAAGTTTTCACTCAGTAAACTCAGGCCTAACGGCTGCGGACTCGGCGGCTGTCTGAGTCCCCTGATTTTTGTGCCTCTTCTGGGAACAGGAGTAAGTGTGACGGACTTTGATTGGCTGTCCTTACTGGGTTTTTGGAGGCCGCACAGATGTGTTTCTTGGCCTACCATGTGGGAGAAGTTCTGGTGGACTTGCCATCTGTCTGTCTGTTTATTAAACCGCTAGTACACAGCTGCAGCCTTGCAGAAAAGAAACTTGTCGCCTACTCCGGGCCGCCGTTGATAGGCCTCCGAAAGTCCCGGCGAGGGGCTCGCGGCCAATGTATGGCCGTGTACTGGGGGGTTAATAACAATGTGTTATCGGCAACGATTCTATCCTATCCCCTGCGTCTTTTCTTGTCTTCAAAGACTGCAACTGCCATGACATGCTGATCAGACAGGATTTTCAAGAGGGTTGGCTGGAAGATGGAGGTCAGGGCACAGCGGCTCTTGTTGGCAGAATGATGACGGAGGATTGGAGATTTTATTTGGGTGATGCACTTCATGATATAAGTCTGGAGTGTTATCTTGAACACAGGTTTGCAATGCATGCAAAGTGGATTTGTTTTCTGACGTTCCGCGGACAGAGGTTGAGGCGTTATTTTGGTTGCTGTGTTTCCAGGACGGTGGGCAGTCGATTTCTCCCATGACTATTTTGATTGCCGCTAATGAGAGGTCATATCCAGTGCGTCAAAGTTGTGCGACGCACACCGCCGAGACTGATATTTTTTATTATTCAGCTCTTGCTGGCTGGTAAAACTCCGTGCAATTTTAACTTATCAGCCCTGTTGGATGAACTGTTATGTTTTGTAAGGTCCCGTGCGCTGCGTTCCTAGTTTCCCAGTTGGAGATATTTGTGTGGGCTGTGCAGGTGGCCGGCCGCAGTGCTGTCATAACTGCTGGTCCTGGCTGGACGCGTGTCCACAGTGGGAATGAATTTCCATTTGTCTTGCTATTTGCCAGTATTGCCAGCTGTGGGCTCTGCAGGCGGTAGCAGTGCTGTCATAACCCGCCAGTACACCGCCCAGGCAAACTTGAGAATCAGAATTGAGGCAATACAAAAAGTTCGGGGGCTCAGGGCTGCCGGACCAAAATGACTTGCGGCGCCAGCTGAAAAAGGAAAGAAGCGCACCGCTGGGGGTGCGGCAAAGCTTGGCACGCAGTGTGAGTCTGCCTCTGCAAAAAGAGGCTCGGATGCACTGGTCCTATGACTGCTGGTTGTTGTCTGTTCGGAGATGTACAGAGGGAATGCGTCTCCATTTGTCTTGCCCTTGCCAGTCTTGGCAGATTTTTTCTTGCCCTGATGGCTGGTGTCTCGAGCTTCTATCAAAGGAATAGAGTTGCTGCTGACTTCCTTTGCCCGAGGAATGCAGTCAAGGGGAACTTGTACTCCTGCTGCACAAGTGATACCTCTTGTGTCCTGGCTCTTCTCATGCCGGTCATTGTGCCCAAGCTCCTAGACATAAGCTAGAAAAGAGAATTGTGGTTGATCATGCCCCCCCCAAAAAAGAAGAGGAAGAAAGGGAGGGGAGAGCTGTGGAAGCAGGAGCAAGCGTCAGAAGGGCATTACAGATAGATAAGGCGGAAACTGTTCTTTGCTCTTCCGATATGTGGCTATTTGATAGTGTGCTGTCTAGAGCCATTGTAGGATACTGTAGTTGGAGTTGACAGGGTATTTTTGTGCCCAGCGTTTTACAGGGGTAATGTATATGTGTGTGTGGGTGCCAGGGCTTGTATTTGGCAGGAAGGCCCATCATGTTGGTGGAGGAATGGTGATCAATTCATGGGGCAAAATCCTTGAGCTGGATATTGTACAGTCATTCATGTAGGGTATGTGGAAGTGGAGGTTATTACTGGTTGTGAGCTTGACATTGACCAGAGTATATTTTGAGGACGAGTTGATGACAGCGTACTCGAGGAGGTGACCCTAGGGCAGGAATGTAGAGTTTGTCTACTGCAATGTTTGCCCTTTTTGTCTCCGCCGAGTCCTTACCACTGGTGACGGGCCTCTCTGTCTTCCGAATATAATTCTTCGCTGGACTTCTGCATTACCTGTCTATGGATGGAGTGGTGGTTCCTGCTTCGTCATCCTGTGCTGGCTTTTAGGAAGATGTGATTGATGCCAGGCAAGACGTTTTTCCTGTGCTTGCGACAAGTTGTACTTAGATATGTGACTTTATATGTCCTGAACTTAAGACTTCAATGGTCGAGCAAAGGTGGAGCTGAACCAGACAGCTTCTTTCTTCATTTGAATGACTGAAAAAGCTGCACGCGTAAAATATTTATGCCGGGAATGGGGCATTTGCTTGGTTCAGTCTTTTCACCACCTGCGTTTTGTGGTCATCAGAGCCCACTAGGGCGTTAGCTCATAACTCCACTGGGGTATATCAAAAATGACTCATGGCAGGCGCTCTTGAATTCCTCAAGAAAAACGGTGAGCAATCAGCGCTTGCTGTTGGACCTTTGCATGGAAATGGGATGTGAACTTTAGATTTATTTTTCCTGTCTTTGCTTGATGTCCCCTTCTTTCCGGAGTTCTATGCGCCGATGTTGTTGTCTTGTGAAAGGAAAATAGTGTTTTGTTTTCCAACGTGTATCACTTTGCGCAATGAGTATACTATACAGTGCGATTGTACACAAAAGAATAAAGTTGAATGCAGACGGATGTATTGATTATGAACCGGAACTACTCGTGGGCCAATGTTTCTGACCGATTTTGCGATGTGTGGATGTGCCAACTATGATGTCATGACGGAATGTGTCGTCTCTAGCCCGATGTTGAGATTGTTCCATCCCACAGAGGATCTCCTGCCTGCCCAATGCCTGTCCTTGCAAGCCTTCAGTCATTCAATCTAATCATTTGATATCAAAATGCCGTTGTTCCTGCCGAACAACTTTCCTTGGCCAGGGCCTGGCTGTAAAGCTTCACATCCTGGAGCAATCTGCACTTGTTATGGAAACCCTGTTCTCGACATGCTGACATGGTCGGTATAAATTCCCTTTACCCTGGCTCAATGCACACAAATAAGCCTCCTTTTCTAGCTAAATAGCCACACATATGCATTACCCAGTTTTCTCCATACAACCGAGTCAACTCGCAGTAAAGCCTATCACAAATAAGCCTCCTTTTCTAGCAGCTGCTCTGCGCGACTGAGACCGACCTCTTCGTTTGCTACTGCTCCGGCACTCCATGTTTAGTAATTGCTGGTTGGGAACTCAGGATGGAGAGGGAGATTGGGCCTCACTCCGCGTTCTCACGAAATGTGCAAATTGATAATGATTTTCCGCTAGAAAATGGGAAGAAACACAGCCATATATTGTCAGGTCTGATGGTCGACTAGGATTTTTTTTTTTTTTTTTTTTTTTTTTTTTAATGTGGCTGCGTCTTATTTCTCTGTGCAGTACGTCTTCGGTTATTTGAACGTAATTTGGGTTGTTTGTGGCCTATGGCGAGTGCCCGACTTGGTCACCTTCTCACGGATATTTATGCGGCAATCTCGGTCCGCATTCTGTGAGTTGAATGGAATGAGGAAGTTTCATGCAAAGCCTCGGCGAGTGTTGTAGACCTTTTTCTGCACATGTTTTTATGCAGTCCAGCTTGTAGTTACTTGTGTGTTGAACAGGAGCTTTGGTGGCATTATGTGTCAGGTAGGGTTTCATGGTACTCGCGGCGTGTAGACAGGCACTTGCATTTTTGCTTAGGTCATTGGGTGCGTGCGACTTTGGCATTATCTGGACAACTATCTAATGATTGTGCACAGTAGGCAGTCGAGGTTTGCTAGGTTTCACCACAAGGAAGTGCACAGCATTGTTTCTCATGTCTATCTAGCTTTTGTGATATCAAATCTCCTAGTCTACGCTGCAGCTGAGTCCCATGGCTGTGTTTGTGTTTTGTGGTTTCTTCTCTGTGACAGCTTTTTTGGGATGCATGATCGCTACATCCCAACGATCGGTAAAACGTTGTGTTGGAAAACGCTGGTCACACTCTTGAGAGCTGGTTTGATCATCTTGAAAGCACCACATCGTTCGCTCACATCACCTGAGGTTTACCGGTGCGCTTGGAGTCGGTTTATCGCATTCCTTTGATAATCTTCTTGTGGATGGTGAGTTTGCTCTGCTTTGTCAGCCTTTTGACCCCTCGTAGAGGGAGCAGGAGTTGTTTTGTGTGCCTATGGATTGCCTTGTTTTTTTTTTTTTGCATCTTTTGCAGTGAAAGTACCTACGGTACCAGTTCATAGTTGGTTATTGAAGCTGCGAAGTGTGCAATACTCTAGGTAGACCGAACATTCAAGAGTGTGACATGGGTTATAGAAGGTGACATTACCAAATAGAGCTTGATGAGTACCGATGTTCGGGTGATGGTGTTTGCCTTTTCCATCCACGCATCTAACACATAGGGATTTTTGGACTTAAGCTCTAGGCTAAAGCTAGGGCCTTGCCACTCTTGTTGGATGCGGCGCATTGCTCAACACCGGTGACTTGTCATTGTTCAGCTATCCTGAGGGAAACTTCGGAGGGAACCAGCTATGAGACGGTTCGATCAGTCTTTCGCCCCCATATACCCGAGTCCGACAAACGATTTGTACGTCAGTATCGCTGCGAGCCTCCACCAGACTTTCCTCTGGCCTTGCCCTAGCACCCACCAGCTGGCATGCACGGGTGGCTTGTCATTGTTATTAGCATTGCCTTTTTAATATATAGGGTGCTGGCTCTGAGGTATTTTAAGCGAACGGATCGGCACCAGGTAATTCAGAGTCATTTCATTCATATGATTCCATCAGCATTCGCACTCATCTCTGTTTCTACTAACAGTCCATTCAGGCTCAAGCGGTGGGCGTGGCTTGTCATTGTGAGATACTTACTCTTTGTTGTACCCTTTGTCACGGTATTCCTGGGAGTGTTGTGTTACTGTTATGGCAATTGAGCAGGGGGAATACCTAGGTTCTTTCTGTGCCTTTTGGCTAAGAACAAGATGGAGCTTAACATGTGATCCTTAGTCCAATGGGCCACGTTTAGTTTTAAATTAGAAGAATGACAGAAAAAGAACTTACATCCTTTAGCCTGGTGCTTTTGACATTGTGCTGATGACGATGTCGCTGCAAACATCCGCGCTGCCGCCATTCTGAGCTTTGTGAGGAAGAACAGATAGCGGGCGATGTGCAAGCATCCATGGTTTGTCAATGGCTTTACCCCCAACTTCTGTCTCAATTGCGTTTTCTATTTCTTAGCAAGCCTTGCACGTTAGCTGCTCGTCGGATCCAAACCAAAACTAGCTTTTATGTTCTAGATCATTATTATGGAGGCAAAGTCATCATCATTCATGGAGCTTCTAGGATCTCACCGCGCTGAATGATCAGTTTTCGTGCACAGTGGAGGGCTGGAATGCCTCGTACGGGAATCCCACCTTATCCGTCATTATTGCACAGCTCAGCCGCGCGACTCGTTTACCATCCACATCAAGGCCACAGATCTGCAGGAGGTACTTGGGGCAACGCAGTTGCGCCCTGTGTTGCCATGACCAGAAGTAATTGCATCCTCGAGCAGTCACTGAGTCGTGTTCAGCTTTTGTAACTTCAGTGAAGTGGCCTTGAGTGTTCCTCCGTGTATGACAATAACTCACTCTCGTCCAACTGTGGATGTCATGGAGTTGCCTTTCCTCACCTTTCCAATCTTGTGGATGGGAGAGAGAGTTGTCTGTCTATTGCCTTTGCAAACCACCAGTACACGGCCCCGGGCAAGTCGAGAACAACAGAGGCTCTGTCCAAAAAGTTTGGAGACTCGGGGCAACTGGATCAAAGTGGCTGGCAGCACCATGCAACACAAAAACAAAAACGCCGGGCTGGGGTTTTGTCAAAGCTTGGCACGCAGGCGGAGTCCGCCTTGTGCAAAAGAGGCTCGGATGTACTGGTGGTTTAAGGCTCAAAGTGTGCTCGTTGAATGGGGAAACAGCCAAACGTGCGCCAAGCGGTGGGCGATAGGACTTGATGATTTCCTTAAAAGGACCACTTCCTTACCAAGCTGTTGGCCGCGGGCTGGTACCCGCAAGTCTCAGGGGTGGGAAGCGAAAAGTAGGCCGCTGATGAAATTAGTCAGCGGTGGCCTGCTTTCGGCCCGGCGCACGAAGAATGCGGTGTAGGCTATATTCCCACTTTTCCCGACAGGGGGAAAGGTAGTGGCGATTTAACGAATACAAAAACCTGTTGGCCAGACAGCCTCAATCTTCTTCTTCACCCTCATCTGCGTCCCGGAAGTTGAAGAGCTGGCATTCTGTCATCCTCGTCAATCCAGTGCATCTGTGATCTCATTGTGCGAGCCAGCAGCGTTCACTTTGTTCTACGTATGCCTTCTTGTGCTGTCTTCAACAGCGTTTGGCCGTTGTCCTTGTGTACGGGACATCGGAATTTGGCAATTTGGTGCAGGAATTAGTATTTCTTCCCTCCCTCGTATGGTTCTGACAGTTCCACTTGCACCCACTGTCCCAAATCCGTTCCTGATCTCCTTGGCCGGGCGTGCAACCACCATAGGGGTTACACCCATATAATGCAAAACTCAAATATGCAAGACTCGCTGAAAGTCAAAAGACAAAGAATGGAACAGAATGAAAAGAATGAAAATAATTAAAGAAGTCAAAATACACAAGGTGAACCACCGTCTTCCCTTCCATCCCTTCCCTCTCATCTTCATCTCCCTCAGAATGACAAATGTATGAATAAACAGGAATGATGTTAGAGCAATCCCCCTTATTGCCAGCACTCAAAGAGTCCTTTCGGCGAGATCGTCACTTCTCTCTTCCTGGCTGCAACTAGCACTATGGTGGAACATCCATGCTCATCACGAATGTTCGAAGGACAAAGCAATCTCTCTATGCGTCTCCCATCTCTTCTCCACCATAGCCATGCTGTTCAAGACCAACTGGAACCCACACAGGGGCCTTTAGGATGTAGTGCCAACCAAGCGAGGGAGGATGAACGTCCCCCACAGCCATAGGTGGTGGGTCTATCATGTCGGTTCCTCTCTCACTCCCTTTTCCTCAACTTCTACACCCTTCTCACACTTTTCCATAGCCTGGCATTGGTCGCTTCACCCTCTAGCTCCATAGCCAAGGCCTTCTCCCTCCTCCGCCTTCTACTACATAGCGAGGTAGGTATCCTTCTCCACTCTCCAGCTCGGCCGCTCAGCAGGAGCTCCTACGTCACTCATTGTACCCGAATGACATACTCTTGCATCTTGGCCTCACAGCTTCACTCAGGCTTTGGTACAGCTAGGCTTACGAGGAGTTCCCGTAGTCAGACTGATTGTGTGCGGGTCATTGCACTCCCACCGACCCAGAAGCGAGGTCCCTTCGAGCTAGAAAAAACCTAGGGAGCTGCACAAAATGCATTATAGGCCAAAAAACCATATAGTACACGTGTATGGTTTGCACGCGTTCTAATCACACATCAGTCCACGCTCGTTTGCGTTGACAAAAGTGGCGCAGCAGTCTGCAGTTCAGACCAAGAAATCCAATGGAGATCATCGAGGGGATGATAGAGAAATGTACTAAATGTTCGCCATTTCGACCTTTATGCAATCAATCTTGGAGCTACTATTCATGGGGTGTGGAGTCGTGGGCGACTTGCTGGGGAATTCATTGGCGTTAGTGCAGGGGTACGACTTAGGTGCATGAAACACCGGATACGTACGCAACTGCGGGGAAATGTACTAATTATTTGTGTTTTCGACCTTTATGCAATCAATCTCGCAGCTACCATTCATGGGGTGCAGAGTCATGGATGGCTTGGCGGGAAATTCATCTGAGTTAGTGCAGGGCTACAACTTAGGGGCATGAAACACGGGATACGTACGCAGCTGCGGGGGACAATCCACGACGTAGGAGGGTCCAAAGTGCTCATCTTCTAGGACCTTGAATAGGCCAGGCTCCATGGTCAAGAGGCAGCAGTTTGCGTGACACTCCCTCCTCATCTGAGAACTCGGAGATTTTGACCTTGACATAATCACCTTCCTTGAGAGTGGCAGATCTGCATTGCTTGTTTGCATGCCCCCTAACCATGGCCTCTTGCTGTTTGCATATCACTGAGACAGCACATAAGCAGTTACTGGTACGTTACACCGTACCCAGGCATGCCAGGGGTCAAGCTGATATGCTGGTCAGGCCATAAGTAATCAATGCGACTGTGAACTGAGTAACTGACCTGCAACTCATATGGGGTCATACCGGAAGCAGAATGGATGGACTGGTTGTACAGATTCCGTACTATTGGTAGGTCCTTGTCCCGACTGTTCTGATCAGGGACTAAAAGCGAACACAATGATTGTGTGACTGTTTGGTTCATTTCTTCTGCTTGTCCAGTTGCCTCTGCATGACGACCTTAAGTCATGGCCAACTGCAACTTCGTAGTGAGGGATTTCTACTGCGAACTAATGATGCGGGTGTCCTGATTGCTTGCAAGCGTTTTCGGGGGCCCCCATTCTAGAATGTAGTGCTTCTCTAATTCCTCAATGACCAGATCCATCGGTGCATGGGGTGGCAGAGCAATGAAAGTGACGAAGTTAGGAAAACCTTCCAACACACACCATGATCTGAGAGAACCCACTTGTGCTTTCCCTTCCCATGTCAGTGAAGTCGATGGAAAAAGATTCACTGGGGCCCTCGGGAACACGAAGGGAACTATAAGGAAACCACGGGGTTGCTGCCGGTGGAGTTTGTTCCTTTGGAAGACTTGACAACTCTCCGCGAACTTACGTACAGATCCCTTCGTACCATGCTGATAAAACTTCTGCACTAAACTCACATACATTTTAAACAGATCCCTCCATACCATGCCGATAAAAATTCTGCACTAAACTCACAAAAGTTTGAAAGTGACCGTCCCGTTGTTGATACATTCGCCCAGAATTCGAGATGAATTGCCTCAGGCACACGCTTCCTATCACGTTTCACATGTACGCGGAGCAGCATACCGTCCTGTATGTGGAAATCAGGCTGGCAACCGGCATCAGGCAGCAACGGTGTAAAGATGGGCCCTGTTACGATCCTGGTCATTCCCAAAGTGCAAATTCACAATGAAAGACAATGCCACCCAATTGCGAAATAAATGAAAGC